ATTACAAAATATTGATGAAATAAATAGAAGAAGAAGAAAAAAATGAAAAATCTTCCATGTTCATGGATTAGAAGAATTAATCAATAAGTCCATAGTATCAAAAGCAATTTACAAATACAATGTGATCTCACACTTGATCTTAGCCAAAAGGCTGAGAAGCGATGCAATGTGACCTTAATCACAAAACCAGACATTGTTCACAGATCAAGAAAAAAAATCCTAAAATTGATATGGAAAAACAAAGGTCATGAAAAGTTAAAGCAATCTTAAGCAATAAAAACAAAGTGAGAGGCATCAAAATACCATATTTCAAGACATACTACAGGGCTGTTATAATCAAAACAGCCTGGTACTGGCACAAAAATAGGCATATGGATCAATGGAATAGAATAGAAACCTGAGAAATTAATAATCACATATATAACCAACCAGTCTTTGACAAATGAGCTAAAATCACTCCCTGGAGAGAGGACAGTTTCTTCCACAAATGGTGTTGAGAAAATTGTATCTCGCATGCAGAACTATCAAACAAGTCCCCTACTTTACACCCTATACAAAACTATACAAAATCCTAAACAAAATTTTGTATATCCTATACAAAATCCTATATAAAAATCAACTCACAATTAATCAAGGATCTAAATCTACTATCTGAAACCATCAAACTATTATAGATAAATATTGGGGAAATGCTTCAAGACATTGGCATAGGTAAAGATTTCTTGAGTAAGACCCAGAAGCAGAGGTCACAAAAGATAAAATAGACAAATGAGATTATAACCCTACATTCTTACACAGTAATTAACTACACAATCCTTGGCTATTGACTTGTATGAGCCATCCTGTGACACTCCTCCTTGATCACTTTGTGACAGCTGCAGTTATTTCTTCTCCATTCTGTGAAACCACTAGGTTGCTCCCACCTTAAGCCCCTTATCTTGGTCATGTTTTTTCTGCCTGCAATGTTCTTCACGTGGATATTTATTAAAAAGTATCTTCCTGCAGCGCGGGCACCCCGGGTTCTAGCCCCAGTTGGGACACCGGGTACTACTCCCAGTTGCTCCTCTTCCAGTCCAGCTATCTGCTGTGGTCCAGGAGGGCAGCAGAGCATGGTCCAAGTGCTTGGGTCCCTGCACCCACTTGTGCAGGGACCACAGCAGATAGCTGGACTAAAAGAGGAGCAACTAGGACTAGTACCCGGTGCTCCAACTGGGACTAGAACCCAGGGTGCCAGCGCCATGGGCAGAGGATTAGCCTATTGAGCTGCGGCGCCAGCTTTAGACAATATTTAACTTGAGTTTATATTGTTGAGGATTCACTATGTTTCTTGATTTTTTTAAATTTCAGTCTTTCATCTAATTTGGGGAAATTCTGTTTTGCCCTCAGTTCCTTAAATGTAATTCTACTTTATTCTGGCTTTTCTCAATTTCTAGGAGTTATTATATGTAAATTACAAATGTGATTCTTTTTTAATTCCAGAGGTTTGGTTAATTTTAGTTTTTTGTCTTCTTCATATAAAATGATATATTCAGTTCTATCACCAATTTTATTAACTTATTTTGATATTTACTGTTCTATTATTTTTATCCAGTGTGTCTTTTTTATTTCAGGTATCATATGTTCAGGCTTAAAATTTACATTTGTTTTAAAAAGTTTTCTATTTTTTGGCTAACATGTCTTATATTTTGTTCATTGTTAGTATATTTTCACTTTATAGAGCACTTCAGTCAAGTAATAGTAATTCTAAACTTTGAGTTATCTATTATCTTTTCCCTAACAAATGATTCATACTTTCCCTTTTGCATAGTGAATAATTTTGAATTTACATTGTGAATATTATGCTGAATACAATTTGGATTTTGTACTATTCTTCCAATGAGTGTTGATGTTTTCATTTTACCAGGCAGTTAATTTATCCAAGTTTTAGGAATTTGGTTGCCATTGGTGATGATTCATGTCTCAGTTAAGATTGCTTCCAGTCTGTTCCACTCATGCGTGGTCCTGGAGGCAGCAGACACCAGCATTGCTGCATACAGAATTTATGGATTCCTCCCTTCCAGTGTTCTCCTCACCATCTGGCAACTTTACCCTAGATATTCTGCCCATAAATATGTTGAACTTTCTTTGCAGTTTTAGCTTCCCTCTGCTGCCATCACAATCATGCTACTGTCTGGGAAGGGACACAAAATGAATAACTTATTATGCACTTTTCAGTTACTCTATTTTCCACTCTCCCAAAATCTACATGTGCTGATATCTTCCCAGATCTCTCCAGGAATTCATTTGTATTTTTCCAGAATAGTTATAGCTACTACTATGAAAGGGTCAAGTTTTCAAGAAATCATTGCCTAGACAGACACAGAACTCCTCTCCATGCTCATGGTTACTAGTTCTCTGACGCAATTCCTCATTACCCACATATGTTCTCAAGTCTTCCAACAGATTCTTTAACACTAAAATCCTTGCTTATTTATTCCAAGATTTGTGGATCACTGGGTCTCTTTGTATTAGCTCTGTAACCTCTCTCTCTCTTTTTTCTTATTTGACAGGTAGAGTTATAGACAATGAGAGAGACAAAGAGAAAGGTCTTCCTTCTGTTGGTTCACTCCCCCAATGGCCGCCACCACAGCCAGCGTGCTGCGCTGATCCGAACCCAGGAGCCAGGTGCTTCCTCCTGGTCTCCCATCGGGTGCAGGGCCCAAGCACCTGGGCCATCCTCCACTGCCTTCCTGGGCCACAGCAGAGAGCTGGACTGGAAGAGGAGCAACTGGGACTAGTACCCAGCACCCTAACCGGGACAGAACCCAGGGTGCCGGCGCCACAGGAGGATTAGCCAAGTGAGCCACGACGCCGACCCTGTAACCTCTCTTAATATGGAATCAAATGTCCTTGCTTCTTTATATGAATCATAATGTGATATTATGATAGATAGAAATGTAAAAAGTGAAGAATATGGAAAACAATAATCTACCCTAGATAAGGGCATGTCCCTTTCCCTGGTGAGTTTTCTGTACAAAGAACTGAGCAAATCTGAGCTGCTTGTGAGCTGGCTCTGAGCTTTGGTACAGCTATAAGTAGGTTCATCTCGTGCATCAAATGTTTTGAAGTCAGAATCAAGATTTTGTTTTCAGTAGATCTTTGAGTCTCAGCACTTATGAGACTTTGCATATCAGTTTTTATTTTACAGCTCAACTACAGCTTTCAGGCTTATATGATCTGTTCTCTGCCTCACAGCCTAGACATCAGCTTTTTTGTTCTGCTAGGGGGTTGGGAGAATATCTTTCCTACCAGATTCTTTCCTGGGCTTTGTTATTTTTGCTTTCTTTAGGGGTACTCCCCTGACCCTGTTGGCTTGTCCCTAGGAGTTGGAGAACCATTTTGGTGTTCTTGGTGAGGACTTAACAGCCTCCATCAGGAATCCGGTTATTTCCCCAGCCTTCAGATGTATATTACATTTTACTCAAGACTGTGCTGGAAGAGAGTTCCCTCTTCTCTTGACCTGCCCCAAGTGTGGCCTTGGGGAAATACACCAGAGCGAAAAAATGCATTTTTCCCTCCTGCATTCTCTTCAGGCTTAAATGCACTATCCTCTATTCATCCAATAAAGACCTGTGGGAAACTGCTGATGGGTGGATGTAGACTTACATTACTAGGACTTTGTAATGTAGTTAAATACATGCTTTGTCTATTCTTCTCAGTTATGGTAAGACAAAACTTACAAAAAGCCAAATAATATCCATATTTTCCAGCTTGCTCTCATTCTGAAAATAGAAACAACAGTTGCATGTGGTTTTTTATGTACTAACTAGAAGCAGAAATGTGTCTATAGGTTTTTATTTTTTCTTACATAGTCATTTTATCTAGTTTTGTCAAGACAAACTGAGAGATTAAAAATTATTATTTCATATTCCCAAAATTATTGCTTGTTTTTTATTCTCAATTAATTATGCAAAATTTTACATAATGGAAAATTCATGCTTCTTTAAAATTTCTGGATAAACATAAAAATTCTGAATTGAAAGTTACATGTATTATAATCATATTGATAATATAACATGAAAAATGCATTTTTTTTCTGACAGGCAGAGTTAGTGAGAGAGAGACACAGAGAGAAAGGTCTTCCTTTGCCGTTGGTTCACCCCCAAAATGGCCATTATGGCTGGCGCGCTGCGCTGATCCAAAGCCAGAAGCTAGGTGCGTCCTCCTGGTCTCCCATGCGGGTGCAGGACCCAAGCACTTGGGCCATCCTCCATTGCACTCCTAGGCTGCAGCAGAGAGCTGTGGAAGAGACTGGAAGAGGAGCAACTGGGACAGAATCTGGCGCCCCGACCGGGACTAGAACCCGGGGTGCTGGTGCCACAGGTGGACGATTAGCCAAGTGAGCCGCAGCACCAGCCAAAAATGCATTTCTTAATATTTGCTTCGTGTTAAGAAACTTTGAAAAATTTTATCCAAGGTTAATTTGAAACTATGTAATATTTGTTTTGATTTAATTTGAAATGGTTTATTGTATGCACTTATTTCAATGTCTTTAGATTTAAGAAAATACTGAAAAAGTTGTGGGAAGTTAAAAGATAAAAAGAGGAAAGAAAAAAGAATTACAGAAACTAAAGCTGCAAGTAAGGAAATATAAGAAAACATACTAAAATCCCCACCAATAATATTTGATAAGTATTATAAATATTAAATATATATATATTAGATATTTAGCAGTACTCATTTTAGCTTAGGTAATATTCTCCCATGTTTGAAAGTTCCATCATTCTATTATCTTTTTTTTTTATATCTTAAGATATAGCCAGCAGGGCCGGCGCCACAGCCATTGGAGGGTGAACCAATGGCAAAGGAAGACCTTTTCTCTCTGTCTCTCTCTCTCACTGTCCACTCTGCCTGTCAAATAAATAAATAAATAAATAAATAAGATATAGCCAGCAGTAATGGACAGATTGTGAGAGTCTGGTGTTTGAATTTGTCTCGATTACCGATCTTTCTTTTCTCTTCACTCCATAGCCATCCTTCATTGTCTTGCTGGCAATATTGGAATATTTCTTCCTCATCAGTTTGTGAGGTAATAATGGCAAGCTTCATCATTGGTAGACCCTTGGATGTGTGATGTGTCATCCTTCTAGACTTCTGTAGCTCGCTTTCTCTGTCACCCTCTGTGAGTTCCTCTGTCCATGGATGCTTCTGCACATCACCTTACTTGGCTTCACAATAAGTTGTGAAGTGTTACACTTCCCCCTGACAAAGTTTCTGGTAAGTACTAGACATGTACTGCTTCAACAACTTCTCCAGCATCAAGAAGGCAGAACTGCACCCTCTAAAACAAGATCCAGTTTGTGGCCCTGGATGTCATTATGCCTCTCCTAGACTTTCTTGGGTGCTCTGCATTAGCCCTGAAGCCATGAGTGCTCCACATATCTGCTCTTCTTTGACTCCTTAAACTATGTTTAGTAGCTTATGCAACGACCTCAATCTCACGTTCAAGTAACTGGATGATATATTTGCCTCACATTACCCCAAATAACAAAGATAAGAAGCACCACCAAGGAAATGAGACAGTCTCTAGGGGCAAGGCTGTCCACTCTACACAACACAGAATAAGGAAGAATATGCTGATAAACAATATTATTAGAATTTTGTATAAATATAGGTAATATTGAGTTGTAGAAACTTAGATACAACAATCAAGATAGAGAATTTCTTTTAAATTTATATGTATATAGATATTTATTTATTTATTTGAAAGGCAAAGTTAGAGAAAGAGAGAGATCTTCCATCTACTGGTTCACTCCCCAAATGACAGCAAAGGCTGGAGCTCAGCTGGTCTGAAGTCAGTAGCCAGGAGCTTCTTCCAGGTCTCCTAAGTGGCTGCCAGGGCCCATGCACTTGGGCTATCTTTCACTACTTTCCTAGGTGCACTAGTGGGGAGCTGTATCAGAAGTGGAGTAGCCAGGACTCAAACTGGTGCCCATATGGGATGCCAGCTCAGCAGGTGGTTGCTTTACCTACTCTGTCACATCACCTGCCCCAACACAGATAATTTAATGGCAATTTATACTCAGAGATTTAGGAAAATAACTTCAAATAACATTTATTTTTAAAGACTTGCTTATTTGTTTGAACAGAGATGGGGGGGAGTTGGAGGGTCAAAGGTAATGAGGAAGAGATCTTCTGTATAGTTCTCTCCCCAAATACCTGCTAAATCTGGAGCTGGAGAAGACCTAAGCCAGGAGCCAGGAACTCCATCTGGATCTCTCACTTGGGTCTCAAGAAACCAAGTATAGGGCTATCATCTGCCAACTCCCATTTACAATAGTAGGAAGTTGAATCAGAAGTGGAAACAGAAATCAGTCCTAGACACTCTGATTTGGAATGTGGGAGTCTCAGGTGGTGACTTAATCTAGATTGAGTTGCAGGTTGTTGACTTCACTTGTCCCATTTCTTGTTGTTTTGGGCATTTGGGGGGAAGCCTGTGGATGGAAGATTCTCTCTCTCACCCAGTCCCCCTCATCAAATAAATAAATAAAACATACAAATAAATAGATTTATTAAACCAAATTATTTTTAATTGTTAATCTAAAATATTATCTAAAAGAATCCATGAAATGAAGAGTAGACATCAGTTCCCAGCTCTTTTGCAAATATTTCCACTTATCAATGGTTGGTTATATAAGAAAAATTCCAATATTATTCCTACCTGTAAACTTAGAGTTCCCTAGACTTTGTAAGGTAAAAAATTATCTGTAAAAATTGTCCAATAAAAAGGGGCCGGCGCCATGGCTCACTTGGTTAATCCTCTGCCTTGTGGAGCCGGCATCCCATATGGGTTCTGGGTTCTAGTCCTAGTGGCTCCTCTTCCAGTCCAGCTCTCTGCTGTGGCCTGGGAGGGCAGTGGAGGATGGCCCAGGTGCTTGGGCTCCTGCACCTGCATGGGAGACCAGGAGGAAGCACCTGGCTCCTGGCTTCAGATTGGCGCAGTGTGCTGGCTGTAGTGCCCATTTGGGGAGTGAACCAATGGAAGGAAGACCTTTCTCTCTCTCTCTCTCTCTGTCACTGTCTAACTCTACCTGTCAAATAAAAAAATTGTCCAATAATAAAAAGATATTCTCTAAAGTAACTTCAAGTCTTGATGGAGTTTTTAAATGGGAGATATTCTGCGATTATAATGATGAGTAGTATATGTTTGAGAAAAAATTAGGCATTTGGGGAAATCTTTTGAGAAATCACTGTAAGCCTTTTTTTTAAAAGATTTATTTATTTTTTGAAAGTCAGAGTTACACAGAGAGAAGGAGAGGCAGAGAGAGAGAGAGAGAGAGATCTTCCATCCACTCCCCAAATGGCTGCAACGTCCAGAGCTGTGCCGATCTGAAGCCAAGAGCCAGGAGCTTCCTCCGGGTCTCCCACATGGGTGCAGGGACCCAAGGACTTGGGCCATCTTCTACTGTTTTCCCAGGCCATCGCAGAGAGCTGGGTCGAAAGTGGAGCAGCTGGGACTCGAACCAACACCCATATGGGATGCTGGCACTGCAGGCGGTGGCTTTACTCACTACACCACAGCGCCCCAGAGAACTCACTCTAATCCTTACACAAATATTTTGTTCCAGAGAACAGAACATTTAGAGTCTACTGAGTGTATGATAATCTAAATAAATCCACTTATATATTCAGAAAAACACCCCAGAAAATTAAACAAACAACATACTATATTGACCAATTAAATGGCATATGGACTGAATTGACCAATTTGACTGACTGCTTGAGAAAAGTGGAAGGTCATAAGAAAAGTGAAGATTTCTCAAACAGAAAATAAAGAGTTAGGAGACATGGACTCCAACTAATAAGCTGTTTAAGGATAAGACACATCTCATATTTTGTTTTATATTTTTGTGTACTAAGACTCGACCAAAATTTAATATGCACACTACTTATTGGGCACACTATTACATTTTTGGTAAATTATTTAATTAATTAATCAATTTTAAACTATTGATTTTATCTCTCTGTGTTAGGTTTTAGTATATTTTTATGACTTTCTCCAGATCTGATATTCTAAGATTCGTTGAGTTCTACTATTGACTTTGGCAGTGAAATTTAGGGAAATCTTATCACTATATTGAATTGTGATTTTTAAAAGCCTACATCCAAGTGATACAAAAATACCCACCTGAAAAAAGGAAACTCTAAAACATTTTTCTTTTAAAAACATAATGCGATTTTTATCCATTGCCTTGTATGATTTCTTTTTTGAGTCCTTGGCAAAGGTACAACCAATAAAAATGTTAAAAATGAATGATCATTAAGCATTGTAATTTACTGGGCATTTTACTTTGCTTCTCTCTGTGTGTTGCTGGTGTTAGAACTGAAAGAATTGAAGTTCAGAGAATCTCAAGGTTGCTTCAACTATGAAACAATACTTCTCCAGTCAATAATCGTTTCAAAAATTCATATGAGTCAATGTTACCAGATTTGTCACTAACTTAGTTTATGCAAGTAGTAGGATCTTGTTGCAAATATACTTACATACATTTTAATTTTTGTTAGTTCTACTAACTGGCAATAAAGCAGTTAATACAGGTTAAGTGTCATGCAAAACAACAAAAAGCTGTTTTTCTTCTCCCCACTCTGTGGTTTTGGTCTCTAGTGAAATGCTGCATTTAGGTTATAGCAGCACATTTCAAGAGACAGAGACAGAATAGAGAGAGTTCAGAGGAGAGCCACAAAGGTGATAAAGGGTTTGGAAAATAAGACCTGTGTGGAAAGGTTAAGGCAAGTGGGCATGTTCTGTCTGGAGAAAAGAAGACTGGGGGGAAACATAACTGTCTGAAGGTTCATTAAGGAATGTTAGAAAGAGAAGAGGGACCTATTCTCATTAGTCAATGAGGACAGAACAAGAAGTAATAGGCTTCAATTCCAGGAGGGAAAATTTAGGTTAAATATAAGAACTATCTTTATAACAATATGAATAGTTGGGAATGGCACCAGCAGCCAGGGGAGGCTGTGGAATCACCATCATTGGAGAGATTAAAGGCTGAATCCCCACACCCATTGATCAGAAATGACTTAGTAATAATAAAATCAATCCTGCTGTGATTCACAAGGATAGATTTGTGCCCCAGCATAGGTCCTTCCAACCTAAATGATTATATGATTAAGACACCAGCACCCAAGGGACATTGATCAGTGTGGATAAGGGAAGGAAGAGAAACTCCTTAAAGCCACAGCTGTAAATCTGAAAATTAAGTAGTCCAGAGTGTTTAGGTAAGGAAAATACTGGATCTGTTCAGAAGAGATGTAAAAGGACCGAATTAAAGAGCATGGCTTTTATTCTAAAATATTAATCTGACTTCTGTTAGAATTTCAAACAAAAAATTAAGATTTACAGCATTATCTGTTTTCCTGATGAGTATTTAAATGAAATGTTTCGACAATATTTTATTTTATCAATTAAAAAAATCAGGACTTTGGGAAGGATATTGGCATAGCAGATAAGGATACCACTTGCAACTTCTATATCCCCTATCAAAGTGCTGGCTTTGAGGCCCAGCTCCACTCAGAAGTGAGCTTCCTGCAAATGCACATCCTGGGAGGCAGCAGATGGTGGCTCAGGTAGCTTGTTCCCTGTCATCAGGGACCAGAGTCGAATTTTAGGCTCCAGACTTTGTTCTGACCAGCACTGGCTGCTGTGGGCATTTAGGATATGAACCAGTGGATGAGAGATTTTTCTTTCTTTGTCTCTGCCTCTCAAATAAAGTAAATTAATTATTTAAACATTTTTTAAAAATCAGGTATTGGACTTTTCTCAAGGTCTAATAAATAAAAACTAAAAGGAAAATAATTTTTAGAAAGTACTGATTCCAAATTCAAGTTATTCTGTTTTAATTAAGAACATGTTTAAATGTTATTTTTGCTTTATACATACTGGAGGTTTTCACCTGATGGGTATGTGACTCTAATTAAGATCCAAGATGCATATAATTCAATCACCATATGGCTCAAGGACTACCCAGTTCATTTTTTTAATCTTAAAATTGATTTCTACCTCTGTGCTACCCACAATGAATGTCAGCATTAACCAAAGTGTTCTATTTCTCTATGATCTCTGCCATATCACAGCGACCATTGCCAACACTGCATGGTTAATTCGAATTGTTGAAAAGACAGTCTTTAAATTTTAGTTCACTTTTCTTCTCTGCACCTTTTCAGTTTACCTTTAAGAAAAAAAAATCCTGCCTTTCTCTCCCCTGAGTAGGCTG